CATTAGCCAAGTAGTCGTGGACGAACAAGTTTGTTTGCTCTCGTGTCTAGAAGGTGAATAAAACCTATATATATATAGAAGTATATTGAAACGTTAATAAGTAACAATCACTGATTTTTATAAAGTGGGGAATCCTAATTATGGAGCCATTTGTTTTCGTTCAAAATGTTTCATAATTAAGTTCATTGTGGATTGAAGAAATCTATATAAAAATAGGAAAGAAGACTATCATTTTTCCCCGTTCATTAATTATTTTTTATTGCCAATATGGATAGACGATGAGCTCGTCTTTGTATTAAGTTATTAAGTGGTTACCGGAGCTCCTAGAAATCAACGACGTAAATGCCGCCACCTTGAGATATGAGATCCAAGTTTCCGTTTTTACAGTACAACCGCTGCCCCACCCTTTAAACCGAAACGCATTACTGCTTCACTGCAGAAGTAAGCAAGATACATAACCGTGCCGGCTCACAATACGTCCTAAGTAAAAACAAACCGATTTTCGTTTTTTTCTTGTTTAGGTCCTTTTATTGTTATAAATAAACAAAAACGAATTTTGAGATGTGAGTGATTATGGTCGAATATCGGTGAACATCTAGTAATTTTAAATCAGATAATAAAGGCGTTTGAATTAATAGTGGGGATTGAGACGGAAATGCTTTCGTGCTTTTGTTAGAAAATCGAGCTTCCGTATGTGACCGATCGTTAACAAGACGTTCTGAACATGTTGAACGTGGTAAAAAACGCTTTCGGCGTCTATATGGTGAAATTAAGACTCTTCCCTACCTCTCGCTTGTTTCTAACCAGATTATATGGTTTTTTTAAGTTATACTTTTTTAGGCGCGTTATGAAAAATTGATGAGAGTGAAATTTTACGATGCGCGCGCACCGTGACACAAAATTAACAGAAATGAAGTTGCCCACTAAATCGCTAATTACAATACGACTGACGTAACTTGGCGAGTCTGAATATAGCCGCAGGTGAACTTTCGCGCATGTACACTCAAAAAGTGTTATTAGCATTCATATTTTTAAATCAAAATACGAATTAAAATTTTTTAGTAATATAAATGACAAAATTATTATTTAATATAATTCATACTAAATATTATTAAATTATTAACGTTAAATATTTATTATTAATTATTTAATATTTAAAAAAAAACGAAATAAATTTAATAAAAATAAAGTATAACTTCTTACGCCCGTACACGCACCCTTTTTTTTTCTCTGCTCGAATGTATCGATTGTACCAAAAACACTGGTTCACTGAACGCGCATTGAGTGCTAGGCAACATTTAAATTATCGATGTTTTTTAAGTCATAATCGACGCCAAATTAAATTTTACCCTGGGAAAAAGGACAAGTAATAATATAACAGGAAACGCAACGGTAAAGACATGTGAAAAGAAAATGACAAAATAGATTTTTTTCTCTTTTTCTAGAAATGGAACCGCATTTAAGAGCGAAAAGGAATGCTGAAGTCGTATTGAAATATTCGACGATTTATCCCTTCAGAATGCGAGCGAAGTGGTTGATGTGCGTCTACTGCTGCGATGAGTTCGAAGACCCGGCTTTATTCCGCAGGCACGTAGACGAGGCCCACGAGAATTTCACAATATCGACAGCGTTCGCACATCTCGGCCGAGGCAAAGATTACCTGAAGGTTGACTGCTCAAATATGAAATGCAGAATATGCTCCGAACCTGCCGATACTCTCGAGGAAATGGCCTCACACATCATCGACTACCACCGTAACAAATCCACTTACCAAATGAACTTGGAATACCAGATAGGGCTTCACCCTTACAGATTGGAGAAGGACCGGTGGCTGTGTTTTCTCTGTAGCGAAAAACTACCTTCTCTGATCAAATTGTGTCGGCATACCACTTCCCATTACTTGGATTATACTTGCGACACGTGCGGCCGGAGGTATCTGACGGTTGATGCTCTTAAATACCACATAAAATGCAGTCATACCGGACGCTACATCTGCAGGAAATGCTGGAAGGATTTTCCGTCGCCCCAAACGAAAAGGGAACACGTGAAATCAACAAAAACCTGCTGGCCCTTCTCTTGTGTTTACTGCGGCGATAGGTTCCTGTCGTGGGAACAAAAACAAAGGCACTTAGTCGAGAGTCACGGACGTCCCGAAACTTCGTACACGTGTCCAGAATGCACATTAGTGTTTCAGTCACGCAAACTATTCTACAACCATTACAAGGTGTCACATACTGATGATAGTTTCATGTGTACCTACTGCGGACTCAGGTTCGAGTCTAAGAACCGCCTGGAAGACCACCGATTAGGTCACACGGGCGAGAAAACATTCAAATGTCACGTCTGCGAAAAGTCCTTTCTGCGTAAGAAGAGTCTAACTCAGCATTTGTGGATACACAGCGACAATAAACGTTTCGTTTGCGTTCTATGCGAGAAACAATTCGCTCAGAAAGTTAGCTTAAAATGTCACATGAGGTCCCATCATCCTGACGTCAATTTGGAAATGTAACGCTCAATCGAATATGTGGATTAGAAGTCCTAGTTGTAAAATTAAAAAAATATAAATATGCATGGTCTTTTGAGTGTTTCATTAGCCTTGTCGTGTATCAGGTCAGCGTTAGTCGCCGATTATAAGGCGTTTGGAATCAAACTGACTATTTTCTTTGTTTGTTTTTAGGGTCCACACTGCGATTACGCGGACGCAATGAAAATGACCATGAACCAAAAAAGAAAATTGTCCTTGTTTACCAAACGCCTCAGAGGCGAAACGCTGAACTGATTCTCAGATTCTCGACCGCGTGTCCGTTCAAAACACGTTTCAGTCAAATACTGTGCGCCTATTGTCATACAGAGTTCAGTGCTCTGGCCGACCTCCGGTACCACATGAGGGGCGAACACACGAATTCGGACTTCAAAAATGTCTTTTATAGAGTCAAAGATAATTTGCTCAAGATCGACATAACTGACCTTAAATGCAAGGTCTGTTCGCAGAATATGCAAGACGTAGATTCGTTGATGGCCCATCTATTTAGGGAGCACGAGAAGCCGGTGAATTTTAACGAGAGACACGGTGTGTTGCCTTACAAGCAGGATGCTGACAATAATTGGCTCTGCGTGTATTGTCCTAGGGTATTCACCGAGTTTATTCTGTTCAAACGTCACATAGGAACTCATTTTATGAGCGTCAGCTGCGATAAATGCGCTACAATGTTTGTTTCTGAGCACGCGTTGCGCGTCCGTCAACGCCGAGTTAAATGCTTCAGAACTACGTAAAAGCCGCGCAATGGAAAAGTTCTGAAGCCGCGATTTATCCCTTCAGAATGCGAGCGAAGTGGTTGATGTGCATCTACTGCTGCGATGAGTTCGAAGACCCGGCTTTATTCCGCAAGCACGTAGACGAGGCTCATGAGAATTTCACAGTATCGACAGCGTTCACGCACCTCGGCCGAGGCAAAAATTACCTGAAGGTTGACTGCTCAAATATGAAATGCAGAAGATGCTCCGAACCTGCCGATACTCATGAGGAAATGACCTCGCACATCATCGACTACCACCGTAACAAATCCACTTACCAAATGAACTTGGAATACCAGATAGGGCTTCACCCTTACAGGTTGGAGAAGGACCGGTGGATGTATTTTCTTTGTCGCGAAAAACTACCTTCTCTGATCAAATTATGTCGGCATACCACTTCCCATTACTTGGATTACACGTGCGACACGTGCGGCAGGCGGTATCTGACGGTTGACGCTCTTAAATACCACATTAAATGCAGTCATACCGGACGCTACTACATATGCAGGAAATGCTGGAAGGGTTTTCCGTCGCCCCAAACGAAAAGGGAACACGTGAAATCAACAAAAACGTGCTGGCCCTTCTCTTGTGTTTACTGCGGCGATAGGTTCCTGTCGTGGGAACAAAAACAAAGGCACTTAGTCGAGAGTCACGGACGTCCCGAAACTTCGTACACGTGTCCAGAATGCACATTAGTGTTTCAGTCACGCAAACTATTCTACAACCATTACAAGGTGTCACATACTGATGATAGTTTCATGTGTACCTGCTGCGGACTCAGGTTCGAGTCTAAGAACCGCCTGGAAGACCACCGATTAGGTCACACGGGCGAGAAAACATTCAAATGTCACGTCTGCGAAAAGTCCTTTCTGCGTAAGAAGAGTCTAACTCAGCATTTGTGGATACACAGCGACAATAAACGTTTCGTTTGCGTTCTATGCGAGAAACAATTCGCTCAGAAAGTTAGCTTAAAATGTCACATGAGGTCCCATCATCCTGACGTCAATTTGGAAATGTAACGCTCAATCGAATATGTGGATTAGAAGTCCTAGTTGTAAAATTAAAAAAATATAAATATGCATGGTCTTTTGAGTGTTTCATTAGCCTTGTCGTGTATCAGGTCAGCGTTAGTCGCCGATTATAAGGCGTTTGGAATCAAACTGACTATTTTCTTTGTTTGTTTTTAGGGTCCACACTGCGATTACGCGGACGCAATGAAAATGACCATGAACCAAAAAAGAAAATTGTCCTTGTTTACCAAATGCCTCAGAGGCGAAACGCTGAACTGATTCTCAGATTCTCGACAGCTTGTCCGTTTAAAACGCGTTTCAGTCAAATACTGTGCGCCTATTGTCATACAGAGTTCAGTGCTCTGGCCGACCTCCGGTACCACATGAGGGGCGAACACACGAATTCGGACTTCAAAAATGTATTTTATAGAGTCAAAGATAATTTGCTCAAGATCGACATAACTGACCTTAAATGCAAGGTCTGTTCGCAGAATATGCAAGACGTAGATTCGTTGATGGCCCATCTATTTAGGGAGCACGAGAAGCCGGTGAATTTTAACGAGAGACACGGTGTGTTGCCTTACAAGCAGGATGCTGACAATAATTGGCTCTGCGTGTATTGTCCTAGGGTATTCACCGAGTTTATTCTGTTCAAACGTCACATAGGAACTCATTTTATGAGCGTTAGCTGCGATAAATGCGCTACAATGTTTGTTTCTGAGCACGCGTTGCGCGTCCGTCAACGCCGAGTTAAATGCTTCAGAACTACGTAAAAGCCGCGCAATGGAAAAGTTCTGAAGCCGCGATTTATCCCTTCAGAATGCGAGCGAAGTGGTTGATGTGCATCTACTGCTGCGATGAGTTCGAAGACCCGGCTTTATTCCGCAAGCACGTAGACGAGGCTCATGAGAATTTCACAGTATCGACAGCGTTCACGCACCTCGGCCGAGGCAAAAATTACCTGAAGGTTGACTGCTCAAATATGAAATGCAGAAGATGCTCCGAACCTGCCGATACTCATGAGGAAATGACCTCGCACATCATCGACTACCACCGTAACAAATCCACTTACCAAATGAACTTGGAATACCAGATAGGGCTTCACCCTTACAGGTTGGAGAAGGACCGGTGGATGTATTTTCTTTGTCGCGAAAAACTACCTTCTCTGATCAAATTATGTCGGCATACCACTTCCCATTACTTGGATTACACGTGCGACACGTGCGGCAGGCGGTATCTGACGGTTGACGCTCTTAAATACCACATTAAATGCAGTCATACCGGACGCTACTACATATGCAGGAAATGCTGGAAGGGTTTTCCGTCGCCCCAAACGAAAAGGGAACACGTGAAATCAACAAAAACGTGCTGGCCCTTCTCTTGTGTTTACTGCGGCGATAGGTTCCTGTCGTGGGAACAAAAACAAAGGCACTTAGTCGAGAGTCACGGACGTCCTGAAACTTCGTACACGTGTCCAGAATGCACATTAGTGTTTCAGTCACGCAAACTATTCTACAACCATTACAAGGTGTCACATACTGATGATAGTTTCATGTGTACCTGCTGCGGACTCAGGTTCGAGTCTAAGAACCGCCTGGAAGACCACGGATTAGGTCACACGGGCGAGAAAACATTCAAATGTCACGTCTGCGAAAAGTCCTTTCTGCGTAAGAAGAGTCTAACTCAGCATTTGTGGATACACAGCGACAATAAACGTTTCGTTTGCGTTCTATGCGAGAAACAATTCGCTCAGAAAGTTAGCTTAAAATGTCACATGAGGTCCCATCATCTTGACGTCAATTTGGAAATGTAACGCTCAATCGAATATGTGGATTAGAAGTCCTAGTTGTAAAATTAAAAAAATATAAATATGCATGGTCTTTTGAGTGTTTCATTAGCCTTGTCGTGTATCAGGTCAGCGTTAGTCGCCGATTATAAGGCGTTTGGAATCAAACTGACTATTTTCTTTGTTTGTTTTTAGGGTCCACACTGCGATTACGCGGACGCAATGAAAATGACCATGAACCAAAAAAGAAAATTGTCCTTGTTTACCAAACGCCTCAGAGGCGAAACGCTGAACTGATTCTCAGATTCTCGACAGCATGTCCGTTCAAAACACGTTTCAGTCAAATACTGTGCGCCTATTGTCATACAGAGTTCGGTGCTCTGGCCGACCTCCGATACCACATGAGGGGCGAACACACGAATTCGGACTTCAAAAATGTATTTTATAGAGTCAAAGATAATTTGCTCAAGATCGACATAACTGACCTTAAATGCAAGATCTGTTCGCAGAATATGCAAGACGTGGATTCATTGATGGCCCATTTATTTAGGGAGCACGAGAAGCCGGTGAAGTTTAACGCGAGACACGGCGTGTTGCCTTATAAGCAGGACGCTGACAATAACTGGCTCTGCGTGTATTGTCCTAGGGTATTCACCGAGTTTATTCTGTTCAAACGTCACATAGGAACTCATTTTATGAGCGTCAGCTGCGATAAATGCGGTACAATGTTTGTTTCTGAGCACGCGTTACGCGACCATCAACGCCAAGTTAAATGCTTCAGAACTACGTACAAGCCGCGCAATGGAAAAGTTCTGAAGCCGCGAACGAATGCCGAAATTGTATTACAATGCTCGACGGCATGTCCGTTTCGAACTTGGAAGACGAATTTTAATTGCGTTTTTTGTAGACTGCAAACGAGCGACCCTAATTTCTTGAGGGTCCACATGGCGACGCGCCACGCGAACTTTGACGTTCAAGCGGCTTTCTACAAGAAACTAGGTAAAGACTTTCTGAACATCGACATTACGGATCTTCAATGTAAACTTTGCTTTATGCCCGTTGACAATTTTGATACTTTAACGTACCATTTAAGAAATGACCACGAGCAACCGATCAATTTAGATGCTCAGATAGGCGTACTCCCGTTTCGTCTGAACGACGGCTCGGTTTGGCGGTGCACGATCTGTCCGAATGAGTTCAAAGACTTCATGTCGCTGAAGAAGCACACGGCCGAACATTTCCAGAACTACGTCTGCGACACGTGCGGCGAAGGTTTCATAACGGAATCGGCAATGGTGGCCCACTCGAAGATACCTCACGAAAACAAATACAACTGCAGTAGGTGCGTCGCAACGTTTTCGACGCTAGACGAACGAAATGTTCACGTTAAGACGCAGCACACGTCGATGCCGTACATGTGCGTCTACTGCAAGGAGAAGCCGCGCTTCGCTAACTGGGAACTCCGTAAGCGGCACCTGATGGAAGTTCACAATTACAAAACTGGGGCCGATAAGTACGAGTGCGCGACCTGTCAAAAGACTTTCAAAACGAGATCGGGCAAATACAATCACATGGCGAGAACGCACAGAATGAAGAAGGACAGCGAATTAAACTACCCGTGCCCGACATGTCCCAAAGCGTTTACGACGAAACTGTTCTTGGACAAACACATGGCCAAAAAGCACTTCGACGCGTGAATTTATTACTAAGGTACACACACGCTCGGGATAACGTCCCCTCCCCCGAAAAACGATCAGCCGAATTTACTAGAATGAATTAATGACGTATTTCTTTTCTCTTTTTTTAGGGCGGAGGATGAAAAGAGACGCATTAAGCGACGCGGATAGTAAACCGAAACAGAAACTGTTTGAGAGATCGGTTAACCAGAACCCCCGTAAGCAAAACGCGGTGTTGACCTTAAAATATTCCACCGCCTTCCCTTTTAAGACGCGTTTCAATCGTATCATTTGCTCGTACTGCCACGACGAGTTCGATATAATGGCTTCGCTGAGGGAGCACATGAAAAACGAACACGCCAACGCTGATTTCAATAGCGCCTTCTACAAGGTTGACGTGTTGAAAGTCAATATAACAGATTTTAAATGCACGATTTGCGAACAGACGATGAGTGACGTTGAAACGTTTATGGCTCATATTTCGCGGGATCACGGTATATCGGTTAACTTTGACGTGCCTTTCGGCGTTCTGCCATATCGTCAGGACTCGACCGGCATGTGGACTTGTCTGAAGTGCGACAAACTGTATCCCGAGTTCGCCCAAATCAACGGTCACATACGTACTCACGTTAAAATTTACACGTGCGAGAAGTGCGGCGCCACGTTCTTGTCGGAGCACGGTTTACGCCAGCACGAAAGGAACTTAAAATGCTACAAGCTGACATACAAGCCACGTTTCGGGAAAGCGTTGAAACATCGGAGCAACGCGGAAATTATCCTGCAATGCTCCACAGCGACGCCGTTTCGGACCTGGGGTCAGAATTTTAATTGCGTTCTCTGCAGGGTGCAGTCGTACGACCCGAACGGCCTGAGAATGCACATGGCGAGCCGTCATGCGACTTATGACATTGAGCACGTGTTCAGCAGAAAACTACGTAAAGAGTTCCTTAAGGTTGACATTACCGACCTTCAGTGTAAGCTGTGCTTCATGTCGATCGATACCCTAGACGAATTGCTCTCTCACCTCCGTAACGATCACAAGCAGCCTATTAACGCGGATGTCCAACCCGGCGTCCTACCTTACAAGCTAAACGACGGCTCAGTGTGGAAATGCGCCATATGCACAGCGCAGTTTACAGATTTTATATCTCTCAAGAAGCACACGTCGGAGCACTATCAGAATTTCGTTTGCGACACCTGCGGGGAGGGCTTTATAACGGAATCGGCGCTCTTGGCCCACACCAGGATACCGCACGACAACAAATACTCGTGTAGCAGATGCGTCGCAACGTTCTCGACCCTGGAGGAGAGGAATATGCACGTTAAAACCCAGCACACGAATTCGCCGTACATGTGCGCGTACTGTAAAGATAGACCAAGGTTTACAACCTGGGAGCTCAGGAAGCGGCACCTCATGGAGTTCCACAATTACAGGGCCGGCGCCGATATTTACGAGTGCATGACTTGCCACATGACTTTCAAGACGAGGTCGCAGAAGTACCACCACAACGTGAAAGCGCACAGGACCAAGAAAGAGTCTGAATACAGCTATCAGTGCGGCAGCTGTTCGAGGGCTTTTGCTTCTAAGCTGTCCCTTGACAAGCATATCGCGAAAAAGCATTTTCATGTTTGACAATAAGTATTTGAGCCGTTTCGTATGTACTTAGTGGCGTTGAGTGCAGATTTGTGGCGTTTGTATGGTTATCGTAGCAGACTGACGTTAATAATTTGACGAGATATTTCGTACGTAATTAGTGGCGTTGAGTGCAGATTCGTGGCGTTTGTATGATTATAGTAGCAACCTGGGGTTTTTAAGTCCAAGGTTAGGTTATTAAATGATATTTCGTACACAGAATCAAGGGCTACTGCGGTAAATACATTGTGTGATGTCCTTTGTCTTCGGTAAATGCTATTACTACCGGCTGGTCTGTGTGCAAGCTGGCCTATCTAAGCGAAACTCTTGTTCATAGTAAAAGTCATCAGTTTTACTAGTGGGTGGTAGGACGTATCCTGAGACCCATCTTTATTATCCCACCGCTGAATTGTCTGTAAAAATGAGTTGCCAATGGCGATCGAAAACTGAGATTGTGGTCTAGATATTGTCGAAATTAATAACTAAAAACATAGGCACTATTTTCACTGCACGCAAAAAGTTTAAAGTAAATATTTTTCTTTTTAAACAATATTTCTTTTAAGAGCGGTTATACAGAGATTTTATGTACACTCATGTACATAAATTATTTTACAACTTCAATTTTAGCTCACGATCCTATGACAAATTTTGATTTAGTGAGATTTATATAAATAGAGTTAAAGTATCATAATATAATGTATTTAATTTTGGTAGTTTGAAGTTCGGAACCGGCGTTACTCTGAAGAATTGATGCTTGGAGCTCAAGACTCAACAGACATTCACGTTGTGAGCTCCGTAAATAATTTAGGTGCTTTGAGTAAGCATCGACACAACAAGAAAAATTACTGAGCCTATTAATGGTTGTATTATTTTAGGTTACTGCTTTGATCTCGACACTAAATGAAAATATACTTTTTTTTTTAAGGGAATTTATGACCTGGTAACTGAGACCTTTAAGTCATGTCTTATTTTAATTTATATTCATATTTTTATGAAAAATGATAATAAGGAGTGAAATGAAATGAAGATGATTAATTTGAGACATTAATCAACTGGGATGAAATTAAATGATAGAAAATGAGATGATGGGATGAAATATAATCTCAGTAAAATGGTGGTCATTTACTAAGATTTTTTCAGTTGGCTTTTTGGAGGATCCCGAGAAGCTACGTCCTGCGGCTTTGTTTCATTTTCCCACATTTGTGCACTTTCACAAATATTAAACAGTTAATAAACCACCATTATTACACATTTAAACCCGAAGAAACACTAAATAGACAAAATAAAACAAATCACACAACTTCACTCCTCGCGTTCCCGCCAAAAAGTCTGAAAATATACAGGACCCAATAATAAAAAATTGTACATCGACTTTTAGAAAGAGACAGACGGATGATTTCGGTCGTACTAGTTGCACAACACAAGTGAAACACGTCACGCCTTCGATTATCAATAGTAACTAGATAAAGGGACACGTACAAAATTAAAGCAAAAGCTGTCCGCGTGAATATACACCTATAGCTACATTCGTTTACTAACAAACGAAGAAAAAAGTTTTGAAACAGTTTTAAGTTCAAACTAATTACAACTATGGTACTTTGTAATAAAGTCACAAATCTCCAAAACATTATCTAATACTTACGATCATTCGTCACATAAAATGAGCAAAGTAATAAATTAATCCTGTCACTTACAAATAAAAAAACATATGTTAAACAACTTTTAATGTTAAATCAACCTTAAGTAGCAATAAATAAAGTACTTTTTCCCTTTATTGCTCTGAAAACTAACATCGTTTTGTTTTATTTATTTTTGCTTCTTGAAATTTCGAATTCTGTTTACTACAGGAGGTAAGGGAGTCGCGTTGAACACTAAAATAATTTATTATTGAATAAAAGCAAAAGTTTAGTTGTTTACTTTTTATGTTTTGGAAATTTATGTTAGTTAGGTTAGTACGTATCTATACATTATTTATTATTTTATTAGCGTTGCGTTTTTGTGTAATATATATTTTTATAGTATATTTTTAAGTTTTCGCGACTAGTACACATAATAAAAAAACCTTTAAACGGTTTTAAGCGCGATATTTTTATTATAATGCTTCGGCCACGTTTCAGTAGCCGTGAGCACGGAAGGCAAAAATGTCCAGTGTCAATGAGTCAAGTTCTTAGCTTGGTTATAAAAGTAATCTCTTCTTTCTCTGGCGACAATCGAGATCCATTCCACACACGTGATTGTTAGGAAAGCTAAAATAAAAAAGGAAAGCTAAGTATCCAATGAGAGTCCAAAAAACAGACACAAAAGCAGCATTAACCAATTTTAACCAACTAATTTTGAAGTACATCTAACAAATTTTAAAAAATTATTAAAACACAAATCTACTCCGTGCGTTTACTGTTCTGTTAAACAAACGTTTGTCCATGTGTTGGTCGAGCCTTGGCCAATATTTGTAGCGGTGGCTAAAAATCGGTAATTTTGTTCAAAATTTAATATTATTTATTAGTTTAAAGTAATAAAGTAAATAAAAAAAAATATAGTTTATACTTCATGTACTTACCGAAAGTAAGATACTTCAGCCGTTAAATTGCTTTTTCGGGCATTATTTTTGCAACTTTTGAATACACACTGCGGCATTGTGAGACGGGTTGACATTGGCTGTGTTTGAAGTGAACTAAACAAAATAACAGCTCACATTTCAAGTGAGCTGTTATTTGACGAGACGGATTTTNGAGTTTAGTAGAGACACCCGGGTTCAGGTCCCCTACTGACCGGCGGGCGGCAGCGGGTACCGTTTCACTGGGTCTCCCTATACCCCCGTCAAACAATCACGCCCCGTGAGTTCGCACGCACGTCTGCTCCGCAAGTTCCAGGCGTCACCAAGACTCAACCCCAACAAGGAAGGGGAAAGGGAAGGGATAGAACTGGCTCTCCAACCCACACGCCGGAACACAGCTAGGCTATTTGGCGGCGGACTCTAGTTGGAGGGTGGTCGCCAGCCAGTCGGACTAGGTCCTACCACCGGTTATATTTTCGGCTCCCGTTTAGCACCACCCAGGGGTCACTTGTAGGGAATCGCGGGTTAAACCTACGGAAGCGGGAAGCACCAACCCCCTAATTTCACAGATATTAAACAGTTAATCCTCCTCCTCGAGTCGTGTTCCTCATGTCTGAGGGTCGTGACCACCATCACCCATGAGCTTCAATCTTAGGATCTTTTTCCACTTTCCCCTGTCCACGGCGTCATGCAGCGCGCTGTACACTGTACTGTCCAAAGCGGTGCGGATCTGATCGGACCAACGAGTATGGCTGCGGCCTCTAGGTCTGTTGCCTTCAACTTTCCTTTAACAAACAGTTAATAAACCACCATTATTACATATTGAAACCCGAAGAAACACTAAATAGACAAAATAAAACAAATCACACAACTCCACTCCTCGCATTCCCGCCAAAAAATCCCTCCAGATCTGTTCTGTGATTTGTTTCATTGATTAAACACTTTGTTTTGTATAAACTAATGATGTTTTGTTTTTAAAACATACATTTATAATTTTGTTACTTTGTCATCATTATGGATACAATAAAAATACGAGTAATTATGGAATACGAGTTCCGTCGCGGTACCAGTGCACAAACGGCTCGCAACATTAATGACGTTTACGGAATGAATACTACAAATGAACGCACCACACGTTTCTGGTTTCAACGCTTTGGACATGGAAATGTTGATCTAAAAAATGAACCCCGTGGACGCCTGAAAACTAAAGTTGACAACGACGAATTAAAGGCAATAGTGGAAGCTGACCAAACTCAATCTACCGCTGATTTAGCAGCAGCTTTCCAGGTTAGCGTCCCAACGATATTGGTCCACTTGCGTCAAATTGGCAAGGTAAAAAAGACCTAATATGCGGATGCCGCACGAAATGAGAAATTGCCATCGTGACGAGCGCGTTAATAATAATTTATCCCTTGTGATGCTTAACAGACACAGAAATGAAGAACTGCAATGTCACTTGTAATGAAAAATTTATTCTTTTTGATGATTGCAAGCTATCATGGCGAAGATTATACCCTGGTTCAACACGTAAGTAATACCCCAAATGAAAACATGCCCATGAAAAATCACTGTTTGGTGGTAATATAATTGATCAGTTTCTTACCAAATGGCACCTGTGGATGTGTACTGTGAGTAACTGGTGAACATTGCTAAGCTAACATTGCATAAACTCAAGAAGCTCTGGCCCTCCTTGGTTACTTGCTTGTTCTAGTTACTCCTACATGATAATGCTCAACCTCTTACAGCAGAATGGGACAGTCTTTTAGCTACAAGAGTACAGGAAGTTTTATATCACCACAGTACTTACTAGACTTTGCACTGATAGATTTCAAATTTTTACAAAATCTGGAGAACCCCTTGGCAGGGAAAAAAGACAATACATGAGAGGCAACAAAATACCTTCGAAGAGTTTGTTGGCTTCCATACATCTGACTTCTTCAAGAAGGGTAATTAAGAATGACCACTGTAGAGGTATATGAACACTACAGGTGCATATTTTTTGTTAGTAATAAAATATTTTTACAAAAAAATTACAACTTCCTGTATACTAAATGACAATTTTGTATATCAAGACCTAATACTATTGACAATGGTAGTAAGAAGATTGGTGGCCATAGGCTGTCAATTCAATTTAATTATAACAGGTTAATATAGAATTCATTCTATTCAAGGAAGGATTAGTGGTGGCCCAGAGGCTTTTCCAGTTTCACCAGGACGGGGCAAGCAAAGCCTCAGTCAGGAGGCAAGAGATTAGGTAACAGCTGCCCAAGCGCCTCCAAAAACTCCTAAACTCAAGGGCAGCTGCATTGCAAATGAATCTGCTACCGAATTGGAATTGCGACCCACTCAGAAAATCCAGTAAGAAACTCAGTGAGTTGTGCCTGTGAGACCGCAAAAGCCTAGACCCAGAATGGCTATCAAAACTCTTGTTACGTACCGAGCATTCAAAGATTGGCCAAAGTAAAAAAAATACTAAAAATAAACATTAATGTCATAAAAGACGTTCTATTTTTAAAAATACTTCATACAATACTAGATAGATCCAAAAAATCGACGCACTGTATTATGATATAAGTATGATCAGAAATATCAATAAGAAGCATCTAGATCGAACATCTCCGTTAAAAAGTCTCTTGGGAAATTTAACTTAATAAAAGTTAATTTTGTTAATTGCATGGTATAAATATTTTATGAACAGATATGAGTAGAAGAGTTATTTTGATGATATCCGGAAAAGCACCCCATGGTTTTTTTACAATAAAATCATATTTTCTTACCCTATTTTTAATTCCAATTTATTTTTCGTTTTTTAGATGAATTTCAATTTTTCAAAAATTTCGTCTGAATCAGTCGGTAACTTATCAGAGAAATAGGTGACCGGCGTGCCTGTTAGTTTCCCTTCTTGGTCTTGACGCCGACACTCCGGGTCTCGGGAAAACAAAAAATCGCTAATCCTGATTATCCTAGTAAGAATAATGGATCAAACTGTTTAAAATATTGAATTGTCATCAGTTCTTAACAAGTACTTATGCCAAATTTCGAGTTAATCCGACGTTTTGAAGGGGGCAAAATCATGTTCAAAGATTTCGTTACATACTAACATACGTATGAAGCTAATATAAGCGTATTAAAAATGGAAGATTTTGCGACGAATACAAAACTAATATTGAGCGTCGAAAGATTTTCCTGATTTTTTCACCATTCAGCTCTCAATACCCAATCACCCCGTCTTACGGTACGATACCTGCATAAAATAATATGTATGAAAAATACGAAGGAAAAAACGCAGGAAACCTTGTAATTTGGCGGGCGCGGTTTTTGTTTCAATTTATTGTAAAATATATTTTTTAATCTAATAAGTGATCAGAATAATTAAAACTTTTTAACTAATTTTTTTTTTTTTTTCTACATCTAGGTGGGGTAAGCTTTTCGTATTTTTATGAACGAGTCTCCGTACCCGGGGAGCACGGCGCCCCCCGCGGTTGCATTTGTCACGATCTCCAATGAATCCGGAGTGGATTCTGATTGTTCTTTGGTTTCTAAAAGGAAGCAAAAGCGCAACTAACTCCACAAAATTTTTAAAAACGGTAACAAAAGCAAAAGAAAAAATAATTCTGAAACACTTAAACAATCGAACTGTCAATGCGAGACGATGTCAAGACGAATTTGCTGAGAGCGCTATTGATTTGCCTGCGCCTGGTCCTTGCACTGATACTTCTTCAATGCCCGTTCCTTCCACCGATATTTCACTTAAAGCCCCCATACAAATTGGTAGGGCTAGTTATGACGCTAATGACCACGGCCCGTTTGTGGTAATGTGCAGAAAACAGTCTACTGATGATGATGGCACAACATTACACCCAGTTGTGTTTGCAGATTTTTAAAGAAGAATCTATTCAAAAATATTGTTAATGGAAGTTTGAAACGTAGTGGCCGAAATAAAATGACACTTTCTTTTAATAATTCTACAGACGCTAACTGCTTCGTCACTTCAAACTGATTAGCTGCTAACAACTTGAAACCTTTTATCCCAACTGAGTGGTCTCCTGAGGATAGCAGAACACTAATGCACCCATTGGGTGTGGGGAAATTCTGAAACTCAGAAGACTAAACTATAAAGTCATGGTAAATAACACACACACATTGAAACCTTGGCAAACAGTCGTGTTAACGTTTGATGGATAGGATTTGCCTAGACGTGTATTTATGTTCCCCCGACCGCTCCGGGGGAAGGTGTAGCGCGGCGCCATCAATGCGGGCTCTTGGCCCGTCGACCGAGGGAACCGGCGGTCGTGTCGCTGGCGGCTGCCGGTCCGGCGTCTGGGGGACTGCGGGATGGATGTAATATGCTCTGCGTAAACCCTGTCCCGCCGTCTCAATAGCTCCGACTGGGTTCCCACCCGGTCCGGGGTAGGGCGCCGGCTGTGAGCGGCAGGAGTTTTTAGTGAGGTTTAAGTCCCACATACACCACCCGCCGCGCGGGTGGGGAACCGGCGGTTTTCTCCTGTGGAAAAAAAAAAAAAAGACGTGTATTTATGTGCTATAATTCTATGCCTGTTAAATTATATATATACCCGACTATCCAGAGCTTTAATTATTGCCGCACATCAAGGCCCAATACAGGTCAAAGCCCAGATGCTTAGCAAAATTTTCACTAAAACTTAACCCTTTTTTTCATATAATATTAGAATGTAAGAGAAAGTTGTTACACTGCCAATTACACAACTATTTAGTATCATTTTGTTGGGTGCCTAGTCACTGTGGCATATCTGGAAATGTAAAAGCTGACAGTCTGGCCAACAGTGCTACTGTGACCGGTGACGTGCCGGTACAAGATTTTTTGCCATTTTCTTGCTGCTTTGCCTGATATACATCTCCACAAATCGTGGAATATGTGTTGGGAAGAGAGTGGCCGGATTCCGTTCCCAGGAAACCATAATTTTCCAAATTGTCGTTTGGTAAAACCGCCACTTCTACTTTAATTCGTATGCGTCTGGGACATAATAGCCTTCCAGTTCATTTGCACAAACTTGGTATCGTAACTAGTACCGCCAGTGAGTGTAGCGAGAGCTATTCTGACCTGAATCATGTTTTCTTTTCTTGTCCTATCTATGATCAGTCTTCCTTAAATATTTCTTTAGTATATCTCTCTGTTCCCCTTCCTACTAACATTTCTTTACTTCTTTGAGATTTTAATTCCTTTGTATATAGTATTATTTTAAGTAGGTTTATTTTAAATAATAACACCAAACTATAATTTTGATTTCTTTTCCCCGTTATATAATTATTTTGTTTTTTTTTGTAAATTTAATTCGTTTTAAATCATTTATGTTTTGTCGGGATAAGTTTCCTTCCTTTTTTAAATATATTATAATTCTATTACTCGACGCTGGCTAATGCACAAACCGTGCCAGAGCCAAAAAATAAAGAAGAAGAAAGATACGAAAATACTTTTTTGGGGGGAACGTGAGGAGTGAAGCTGTGTGATTTGTTTTATTTTGTCAATTTGGTGTTTCTTCAGGTTTAAATGTGTAATAACGATGGTTTATTATCTATTTAGTATCTCTAAAAGTGCACAAATGTGGGAAAATGAATCAAAGCCGCTAAACGTAACTTCTCGGGATCCTCCAAAAACTCCACTGAAATAGTCTCAGTATATGATCACCATTTTACTGAGATTATATTTCATCCCATATCATTTCATGCCATGTTTCATATTAATTAACTTCATTTCATTATCATGACTTAAAGGCCTTAGTTACCAGGTCATAAAATCCTTTAAAAAAAAATACTTTAACACAATATTCACATTTCACAATAATGGTTTAGCAAACGAGTTCCCACAAAGTGGACACTGAATAGTTTTAAACGATATGTCACAAATACGAGTTTAATAAAAAAATATTTTTCATAGACTTTTAACTGATGGCGGTAATATTTAGAAGAATTTGTTTAAAATATGTGAAGTGCCTTGGAATAACCATTGTAATTATATTTTTTGCTCAAATTTTTGTGGCACTTCAATTTTTTCCTTCATTAAGTGATAATTCATTGAAAAATGGCTATGCCTCATTTTCAAAGTCAGAAGCTGAAGTTTCTGCAAGAAAAAACATGTTAAGGTTCAGTGACGATGAAGATCTCCCAACAAACTTAAAAAAAAATAAACCTGGTTCTATTTTAAGAGTTGAGGAGCTGGATTTTATACCTGCATGTGAAATTAAAAGTAGAGAAGCTATATCTGCCATACACAGAGCCAAAACACAGCTGTGTAAACAACAGATACTCAACAAAACTTGCCTTATACAAGAAAGTAATTTTTATCCAGAAAAACTAACAAACGTTTGCCCACACAATGAAAAGTCTTATGGTACATATCTTGGATGTTTCGTTGATGAAAAGAAGATGAGATTGCTTTCCGGATTTTATGGAAATTATGTGAGCACAAATTCACCAAATTCATGTTTAGATATATGTGTTCAAGCTGGGTTTCCATATGCTGGTGTTCAATATGGGTATGACGAAAATATTTTATTGTAATAATATTTTAACAATTTTTAAAAACCCACTTTGGAAAAAATTAATGAATATTTCAATCTTGATTGGAATTACAGATTGTGCATGATTAAATCATTTTGATATCATCTAGTTTGATAAGATTTACTTTAATGATAAAATAAGACTTTGATGGCTATCTGTCTAATTTATTTAATATTATATTTAATAATACTTATAATATTAGTATAAATATTACTATATTTTAATATTTCATTAACAATTAATAATATTATAGTATGGATGTTTTAAGTATGGATGGAACAGCTAATAATTTAGTTATTTTCAGTAGATTTCGTGGACCATGTTCCTTAATCGACTGTAAGGTTTCCCTCTAGTGTCTTGGGAATCCTATGAATTATATTTGAAGGGTAGAGGTTATACACATATAAAGAGTACACCTTTTTTGCAGCAGTCTGAATTACAGATGATACAGGATTCGACTGAGGCACGCATGAAGGCATAGCGTTTGGTGTGGTGTGCATTTTCCCACCAAATGGACAGCCACCGGCTCTATGATTTTGTCGATGGGCTGTGAACAGCGCTGGTTCAGAACCACCACGTGTCAGAACTCCGATTTTCCTTCACTCGGTTATTCGTTTCCAATCGTAACCGGCATTGCTTATCAAAACAAGAGAAAATTCATTGTAAAACTTATTAACGTTTTTTTTTATTTACCCATCGAGCTATAGGCCGCCTATCGTGATAACTTCCTCGATTTCCAAGGTGATGGAGCGAATAATAAATACACAACTCCTGTAGTATTTTGAGGATCGCTAACTGATCAGTGACATGCAGTACGGTTTCCGTCACGGTCGCTCAGCTGGCGATGTATACCTTACTCACAGGTGGGCTGAAGCCTTGGAGAGCAAGAGCGAGGCACTTGCTGTGAGCCTTGGTATCGCGAAGGCCTTCGACAGGGTCTGGCATAGGGCACTTCTGTCGAAGCTACCATCTTACGGAATTCCCAAGGTTCTGTGCAAGAGGATCGCTAGCTTTTTGGATGGGCGGAGCATCACGGTCGTTCTAGACGGTGATGCTCTGACACCATAACCATTAACGCTGACGTTCCACAAGGTTCGGTGCTCTCCCCCACGCTTTTCATCCTGTATAGCAATGAGACGCTGTCTCTTGATGGC